CGGGCCGCGTGCTGCTGCTGCTGCTGCCGCTTTCGGGCAGGGTCTTGCCAGGGCTTCTGCCTGGCAGGGCCAAGAGCTCCATGGTTTCACCCGCAGTTGCGCCCCCTGTTCCTTCTCTCGCTGTCGGACTTCCTGGCGGCTCTGCCCCTGATCTCCGCGGCAGCTGCCCACTTCCTGCCGGCCCAGGTTTTCATCTCAGCGCGAGCCTGGTGCCCTTCTCTGCTCAGGCTTGGCATGGTAAGCAGGTCACCACTGCCCAGCCTCTTGGGTTGGTGGACAGGCGGGTACGGGTGCCCAGAGGTCCTGCTCCCTGGTGTTCCCCCTCCCCCCAAAAAAAAAACCAAGCATGCCTGTGCACAGCATCCTCCTGCTGGCTGGAGCTGGTTGCCTCTGTGAGAGGGGAGGGGGGAACGCATTTCTCTACCACCACCACCCCCCAATGGCAGGCTTCCGCCTGAAGCTGATGGGGACAAGGTGGCCTAACCCCTGAGAGGGGGGGGAGGAGGGCTGGGTGGACCTCTGCTGCCTGGGCACTGCCCCCCATCTGTCCTCCCCCCCAGATGTTCTATGCCATTTCCTTCCTGATGGTCATTGTCTATGCCTATGAGGTGAACCGAGCTGTTGGAGGCTGGAGAGCGGGCCCTGTGGCCGTCCTAGAGGTAGCAGGGGAGGGGGGGAGAGACCCTGCCGGCCAAATGGGCCTCTCTCTCTCTCTTAGGGTAGGTGGCATTCAGGGCAGGGTGGATGGGACCCCCCCCCCCCCAGGATTTCCAGACCTCTTTCCTGGTCCCCACTGAATACTGATGTCTCGGCTTGGCTGGGCCCCAAAGCAAGGGTCCTTTCTTCCCAGGATTTTGCAGCTGGAGACCTGGCCCACCACTCTTCCCCCCCAGCCAAGAGGGAAGATATGGAGAAGGACCAGGATGGAGGGCTGCCCAGGGAAACGGGGCGGGGGGGGCAGCAGCAGCAGCAGCTCAAGAAAGGTGGCTGGGACGAGAGGTCCTGGATGTGATGCCGCTTCGGTCTTTCGGCAAACGCCAGGGCTCTGCTGCCCCGGGAGGCCTTCCTCCTGGTCACTGTCTTTCAGGCACAGAGACCCCCTTCTCGGGGCATGTGGGCAGGGCAGGGCAGGGCAGGGCAGGGCGGTTCACCGAGGTGGCAGCTGGCCCATCCAGATGTGGAATGCAGCCATGGGTGGCCGGGGGAGGTGGTCAGTTCCTGCGGGTGCTTGGGGCTGTTTGGTCTCTGCTGTGAAGGGTAGGTGAGGGGGGGCAGGAGCGGGCAAGTGTTTCCCCCTCCCCACATCTAGGCACCAGGCGTCCTCTCACCTTAACCTCCTTCCTCCACACCACCCAAAGGAGAGCACCAACAGCAGCAGCCGCCTCTGCAGGTGGACTTGTCGGGCAAAACTCTACCCCTCGCTGCCCTACATCTTGGCCTGGTGGGTATGGGGCTCCTGCACACCAGATCTTCCAGCTGGCTGGCAGGCGGGGGGAGGTGGAGGGGGCTCCCCTCGGTTCTTGGCTGGTGGCTCAGGACGCGAGAGGGGGGCCATCCAGTGTTGCCAGCCGTGGATCCTCCAGCCCGCCATTCATCCATCTGCACCCTGCCCTCCGCGGCTTCCCTGAAGGGAAGGGATCTACCCCATCCCCCACC